TGTCTGAAGTAGTTTGAGCGGGGAGAAGGAAGGCTTCCAGCGCTGCGGGGCGGGGGGGGTCGTCGAGCCTGGCTGCGGGGTGCGGAGAGGCTGTTGGCGGTGCAGAGTGCCCCCCGCGGGGGCGGACGCGGGGTCGGTCTGTCGGTCTGTCCGTGGCAGGGTGCGGGAGGGGGCGGTGGCGGGGCCGGAGAGCCGCGGGGGTGAGCGGTGTGTGCGGGGAGCGGCGGGGCTCGGCGCGGGGAGAGCCCCGGGACAGCCCTCGGCGTGCCCCGGGCTCCGCAGCCACCTGCGGAAAGCTCCCGGGCTGAGATCCCCGCGTCCTCCTCTCATCCCCAGGGATTTTCTCTAATTTGTATTATTTCCAGGCGGGAGGGGTAGGTCTGCGTGTAGGTCTGTGGAGGCTTCATCTAAGAGGCGTGCACTAGTCATGGGAAATAAATGGGTATGAAAGTTTGAAGGGTATCCATCGGGATTTTTTTTTTTTTTTTTTTTAATTTAGATAGTGGTTCTTACTTAACAGGGGTTGGCCTAGGAGTAGTGCCCTGTCACCACTGGAGTCTTCCCTGTATCCACAGAAGAGGGGGAAAAAAAAAAAAGGAAATGAAACCAAACCAAAATAACAAAAAAAAAAAATCTCCGAAGTGAAGCAGCAGCAGAAATTCAGGTTATTCCCTGTTGGATCAGAGCAGTCTTGATAGAACAGTGACAGGATGAATCTGACCTGCTTGGGTCATTGGACCTACAGTGAGTCCATACAAGGCCATGAGATCATAGAATCACAGAATGGTCAGAGTTGGAAAGGACCTTAAAGATCATGGAGTTCCAACCCCCTGCCCTGGGCAGGGACACCTCCCACCAGACCAGGTTGCTCCAAGCCCCATCCAGCCTGGCCTTGAACCCCTCCAGGGATGGGGCAGCCACAGCTTCTCTGGGCAACCTGGGCCAGGCTCTCACCACCCTCACAGCAAAGAATTTCTTTCTGGTATCTAATCTAAATCTCCCCTCTTCCAATTTAAAACCATTACTCCTTGTCCTGTCACTGCACTCCCTGACAAAGAGTCCCTCCCCAGCTCTCCTGTAGCCCCTTCAGATACTGGAAATGCAGCACAACAATCTGCAGTGTTAATTGGGTGACACAGGTGTAGTCTGTACGTAAGGGGGGTTATCAGAGTGTCCTCTTCTCTTTGTCAGCCCTCAGCACGCTCTGGAGCAGTGGGTCTGTTAATAGAGGTAAAGGTTGCTGGGATTTCTGCCTTGTGCTTAAAACTATAGGTATCTATCAGAATGTCATGTGTGCATATATATTCACTTCCCTGGATGGTAAATCTGCTTCATAGATGAGACGAGGGGCGTGCTGTGTATGAGGCTACTTTTAGCGTATGTAGTAAACCCTCAAGTCATCTTCAGTAACCAGGTGCTGGCATTTACTCCCTTGGGAAGAGTATTTCTAACCATCATGAGCTACTCAGTTTTTGCTTTCACTATTTATACTTTTGGATACCATAAACTAAAAAAAACTGTTATAATTTAACATTTTAAAGAAACTGGCTTTAGTTTCTGTATATTTCTTTAGGGATTGTTAGTGTAGGAGTCCATAAAGCTTAATCTAAGGGTTCTCCCAACTAATTTTAAAGCAGCAGGTTAAACAGGAGAGAATTGGGCATAAAATGAACGCAGAGGTCTGACTGCAAACCCGCGGGAGGGTGATGGGGCTGGCACGGGCTGGCTGGGGTCTGTCAGATGGGATTCCTGCCCAACGGAGAGCTGGCGTGGGGTCAGCAGCGTTTGGGTCCCCGACCTGCCCTTCTGGGTTAGGGTCCTGCAGCAAAGGGAATCAGAGGGGTGTCCCCTGCGGAGAGAGGGCATAAATCACTGCAGTGTCCCATGCCCTTCACGGAATCATGGAATTGTCAGAGTCGGAAGGGCCCTCTAGAGACCATCCAGCCCAACCCCCCGGCCAAAGCAGGGCTGCCCAGAGCACATCACTCAGGAGCATCCAGGAGGGGCTTGAAGATCTCCAGAGAAGGGGACTCCACACCCTCCCTGGGCAGCCTCTGCCAGGGCTCTGCCACCCTCACCCCAAACAAGTTCTTCCTCCCATTGGAGTGGAACTTCCCATGGTCCAGCTTGTGCCCGTTGCCCCTCGTCCTGTCCCTGGGAACCACTGGAAAGAGTCCGGCTCCATCCTCCTTCAACCCACCCTTTAGACCCTTGTCTGCATTAATGAGGTCTCCCCTCAGCCTTCTCTTCTCCAGGCTCAAGAGCCCCAGCTCTCTCAGCCTTTCCTCATCAGGGAGATGCTCCAATCCCTCCATCATCTCTGTTGCCCCACGCTGGACTCTCTCCAGCAGTTCCCTGTCCCTCTTGAACGGGGGAGCCCAGAACTGGACGCAGGATTCTGAAGAGCTTCAGAATTTAATCAGACTTGAAAGCAAAGTGGTCTGGGTGCTGGTTTTGCAGTATATTCTATCCGGATGAAGGAATTTAAAAGCAGCACACAGTGTTTTGGGGTGTGCTACAGATAGAGATGATGCATGCCAACACTTGGTGTCAGTGCCCTGGGGTGGAATGGCATTTTAAAGCTAGAGGCTTCATGGGCGCTTCACAAAGTCACTTCCGTGGAGCGCCTGTAATACATGGATGAATGCATCATAGGGTCTGCAGTGGAATTAGTATTTTTTTTTAAATGCCTGAGAATTTGTTCCACTAGTCAAGATGAAAAAAGTATCTGCACCACCAGGTCTTAGAGCTGTGTGGTCTCCATCAGAACGAAGCACGTAGTTGCACCACTACAGGTGGTCCATTTTTGACCCTCACTCTTAAGTGCATGGTTAGAGAGACAGGAAGGAGTACGTTATAAAGACAAATGGTATTTTTCCAATTTCTAAGTTTTTAGAAGGGGAGAACAGGTATGACAGAAAAATAAGAGAGTGAGAGAGACTGTTGGTCCTGGGGAAGATAGAAAATGTGCTTCTTTTTATTGCTGCGTAGGTGGCCAAGTGGAGGGCACTGGAAAACACTTTTGTTGCTCTCTTTTCCCTCTGCTGTCAGGACATGGTGCTGGAAGAGACGTGTGTGTGCTGCGGGTAACGGCAGGATAGTCAGAGACTCTGAGAGCCTGTAAAGCCTTGTTGAGAAGTGCTGGTGTTCTTATTTTGGCAGAACTCATTCATTTGTATAGGAAAACAAATAACAGACG